AGCCAGTATGCAGGTACATAATATTTTCTCCTTAAAAATAGTAAAAAAAAATACTTTTAACTATCTCAAGACTTAACTTTTCTGTAAGATAAACAATTATTTAAAAATATAATTTGAACAATACAACAGAGACGTCATTATAATTAATACAATATTGTAAGTAAAAATAAATATGAAATACTAAAAATATATTTTTAAAAACTTAAATAACTTACGTCATTTGACTTAGATCGATAACAACCAATCGTAACTTTCATGCCAAAAACCGCAATCGAGATACTATTTTGTTATACAATTTCGAAATCATTTTTATTTATACTTAAAAATGAATATTGTGTATTAAAATTAAAAACTTGGAATTGACATTTTTTATTAGGTACATAATACTAGTATTATAAGTGTCAGTTTTATTTAAATATAATTTCTGTGGCAGTTTAAAAATCATGTCAACAATATTAAAAGTGGTTTCCAGAAATATTAAATCATTTAGTAATTTTTTTCTATTCCTGTACACTATGCCACTATTAAAAGGTGCAGAAACATATATTTTACCAATTAATAATTTATTTTGTTGTTAATCAAATTATTTACATTTTCAATTTATTTCCGGGAGAAGACTTATTAAAAACCAGGTAACTACCTTTTATCATTTTGTGGTTTTCATATTAATCGACATATTATTTAACTTAATAAATATTACATGGAGAATACCCATTATTAATGAGCCATACGCAAATAATTCAAATGTCCTCTCTCCGCCATAATATGTTTGGTACATATATCCACCGACCAAGCCACCAATATAGATGTACCTGGAAAATGAAATAAAATATTACAAGAATAATAATTATAATCACATATTTTAACATAAGGATATTAACAAAATTAAATTAAAATCATAAATCTGTTTTCTCAAGTTGGATATAAACTACATTAATAAGTCAGTTGGCCATTGTGTTTAATGTGCAATACAGTAATAATAGATTGCAAAGTATAATACATTTTAATAAATTTACAAAATTCTTCCCAGTTGAATGCTGAAACTCGATATCTTCTTTTACAAATATTGAGGACGTACACCACAAATCTCCAGTCTAAAACACACTGTATAGTGTATATTGTATTTTTACTGTTTTCGTAAGTCCACAAAATATTTTAAAAAAAATTAATAGTCAAGATAAAATATATTTTGGAGTGGCTAAATTTGGGAGCCATATTGTTAATCAGCCCGACGACTATTTTTATGAAGTAAAATAACATTTAACTATAATTTATTATAGTTACTATAGGCTATAGTGTTGCTAACTATGCTGTTTTAAAAAAATATTTAACTGAAGCAATTCAATGTAACAAAAAACGTAGAGAAAATGTTGAATCTAATTCTAAAGGAAGAGGCTCTTTAATAACTTTATTATCAAAGACTACAGTGAATAAAGTAATAGAAGCTATATTAGTAACTATGCGGAAAATAATAAAAAATGAATTAGGTGATCGGCAATTTAGTATTCAGGTATGTTTAACAATATCTGAAACAAACAATGTATAATTATTTAATTTTAATTAATTTTTAATTATTAAATTATAGGTTGACAGCACTCAAGATATAGGAGCTAATGATCAAGCTGCTATTTGTTTGCGTTATGTTTTCAACTCAGAAGTCAAAGAACGCCTGTTTAGTGTGGTAGAGGTAACAGACTCTTCAGGCAAGGGAATGTATGAGCTCATCGCCAAAGTCTTTTCTAAACATGGAATTCTTTTCAAAAATATTATTGGATCTTCTTTTGACGGTGCAGCTAATATGCAGGGACAATACAATGGATTACGTTCCCACATCAAGACTGAAAATAAAAATAGTGTGTACATTTGGTGCTATGCGCATATTTTAAATTTATGTGTTTGTGATATTTGTGGGAATGTGGCAGCTTTAAGTTTATTTGGATTGTTGAACAGACTAGCCACCTTTTTTTCGGATTCTTATAAAAGAATGAATGTCTGGAAGGAAATACAAGAAAATCTTGGAACTGGTCAAAAAAAAATGCGAAGGCTCCAGAAAATTGGTGCAACACGTTGGTGGTCCCGTGAAAAAGCTTTAAAATGGGTATTCGAAGGCGATGATTGTTTGTTTCCATTAATAATAAATGCATTACATTTTGTTGCAACATCTAAAACTTTCGACCCAAAAACAACTTCTGAAGCAATTTCATTAAAAGATAAATTGTGTGAATTTAATATTATAATAACAGCTTACATTTTCCTTCCAATTTTTAAAAGTGTTGGTCCTACCTCCACATACTTACAAACAAAAAACTTAGATATCTTAAGTGCTTTTCTAATGGTGGAAAAGTGCATTGTAGAAATAAGTAGATTAAATTTTGAAGATATTTTTAAGGCATCTAAAGGTTTTGCTTTAAAAATGAATGGTAGCTTTATCAAAACTAAAATATCTGAAGAAATAACTGTTGAAGATGACTTCCCTGAGACGAGGATCAGACGTAAGAAACGTATGTTTGATGAAATGAGTAGTATATATTTGTCTGTTCTGAGCACCTTTTTTACAGGGAGATTTCATCATTTCAAGGGGGACATTTCTACATGCTCCACCGTGTAACACATAATCTCAAAAACCCTAATGTATGTTCTGAGCACCTTTTTTACAGGGAGATTTCATCATTTCAAGCGGGGCATTTCTACATGCTCCACCGTGTAACACAAATTGTACACAAGTAAAAGTTATGTGTTGTGTACAACACAAGTACACAACACATAACTGTGTCTATATCATTTTGTTACACAAACAAAATAAATATGTTTTTACCATCAATGTATTACTCATAAGTGTTGGCGACACTGAACTTTTTATAGTCACTCGTACTAAAATTAAGTTAGCTATACATTTCAGTAACGAATAATCCGTTGTTAAACCAAGTTATGCTTTTTATTTTATTGTCTTGTTTCACTTATACATTTATTTTTTAAGTAAAAATTTCCAATTTAATGTTTTTTCTTTAAAATAAAAAAACATGAACTTTCAAAAAACCACCAGCAATTATTCTTCATTAGTTTCTTTAATACGAAACCAACCATATCCAACATATCCGCAATATGATACATTCACATCAAGATTAAAAACATATAATATATTTCCGTCAACTATACCTCAAAACAAATATGTATTGTCTGAATGCGGCTTTATATATACAGGGGTTCAAGATATTGTGGAATGCTTCTCTTGCGGACTTGTATTACATGACTGGAAGAAAGATGACATTCCATGGATCGAACACTCGAGACATAATTCCAAATGTATTTATGTATTATTATCGAAAGGTAACCACTTTGTAGAAAACATAATAACCAAATATGGAAGAACTTAATGTAATTGTAAAACTAAATATGTCACTCGCTCAACTGCTTAAACGTATGAACGATATTAAAATAAAATTTTGTATTTTATTAAAACAGTTTAAATGTGTTATTATTCCATTCTATATCTTGTAAATACGTGACCTAATGGATAAGACGTGAAGTTTTTAATTCAATATATAAGGTTCAAATCTAGGTAGCAGATGTTTGTTTCATTTAATTTGCAGGAATAATACGAGATATATAATTAATAATAAGCTCCCTCCCTCCACACTTATCAATTAGGTCACGTATTTACTTTTTTGAAATTGTATTTAACTTTTTTAGTATAAAACGTTGTTGTATGAATAAAATATAATCAGTATACAATTAACACTCTGATAATCATAGTATAATTTTTTTAAAACAATAATCGTCAGAACGAACAAAAATATATCGGTAAGTATTATAAGCTCGCCACAGTATGATTTCACCGATTGTCTCAAGGTCAGAATTTGAAATTCGTCAATATGGAAAGAAAAGTGTAACAGTAGGTTTGTTAGTTAACAAAAAGATTTCGATTGTTGTAATATTAAAATGTATGATTACTAAAAAGAGTTTAAGCCTCGATCTAGACCAATGGCAATCATTAATGTGTGAAAATAATTATAAAGCAATTATTGATAATCTACGAAACCGATGTAAACGTGTAAGAATAACTGATAACTTAAGCTATTCCGTTAATGTGAAACAGTCTTCAATCATATTATATTCTAATGAAAATTATATAACTTTATCACATGTCGATTTGCAAAGGCTGAATCAGCTTGGAGCTTGTATCGATCTCTATATAATCGAGAAGCAGAAAAAATTACCATGTTACCAGAAGACTTTTGACACAGCATATGCATTAATTATGGCAGATATTAACGGGTTACCCTCTTCTTGTCGACGGAATGAATTTACAAACTCATATATTCAGAATTATAACTTAAGTTATACTAATATAGAAACTAATGATATTTCTTTTATGTATGAATTATTACAATATCATTATAACTCATTATCAAATATGATATTACAAGAGTTAGAATTAGGTACATCAGCTATTAACCTGTAATTTATTTTTACACATCATGACACTAAATCATATACACTACTTTTGTATCACTTTTAAAAATAAATGTACGATTAGTTAATATATTGGTTTTTTTATTTTAATTTTCAACAGCCATTAAAACCAGATTTATTATGATTTTGATTTTTTAATACATCCTATTTTCTTGTTTGGATTAGACATGAACCGTGTAAATATTGTTTGTATGATGTTGGATAAATCGTTTGCGAGTCCTTGATCCTTTGCTAAATCAGTTATCGATACTTTTACACTGCACTCAGCTTCTTTCCATCTATAACATCATTAAAATGATAAGTATTTTACATTACAAATATATATACATACATACAGACACATTAATATATTATAAGAACCTTTTCACTATTACATACATCAACCAATGAATTTCTTAAATTATTTTTTTTTAGGAGTTAGTCATTGTAAGTTGTATTCATGTAAATTCTAAGAATCATATATTTATATAATATATATTACCTGTCTGTAGCAATAAGATTTTGAATATTTGTTATTTTATAGTGATTTATTGTCCAGTAATCACTATACATACTTCGTTATCAAATGGTAATTTTATGTTTACTATTTCATCACTTTGTTTCACCATCATCGAATTAATAAGTTCATTATTTACTTTCACATCTTTAATTAAAGGACCAATACTATCCAGATATGAAATATTCTAAAAAAAAAATAATTATAGGTATTAATAATAATAATAAAAATTGTAATTTTATTTAATATTTTTTATTATACTGTAAATTTTTTAATTTTTAATTTTTTTACATACTTTTTTAACTTTTGTTTTGCACATATTTTTTTTCAATTTCACATCTCTTTTTGTTTTATTTTGTTTTTTTGTGGTCCCCGGTTTTACCTCGTTATAATTGTTCTGAAATTATATACAATTTGGTTACTGAAAATCTAGTAAAAATATATACATCGTATTCAATGGGTATAATACTGAACCAGTGTAATACAGTATTATTCAAATATAACTATTAAATATATTATATTATAAAAATATAAATTTAAAATATATAAATATAAATTAATATTAATTTTGTACTTACATCGCTTTCAGTCATTGATTCTTCGTAATCACTAATGTTCGAATTAGAAAATGACATTTTTTTTAAATATATCTTTAACGGTAGATAATTTGTAGCTAAAATACGTTGAGTGGATTTAAGTTCTACCTCTAAAAGTGACTTGCTATTTGTATTTTCTAATCAATTTATATTATATTAAAACCAATAGTAATAGTAATATAAATAGTAATAGTAGTGGACAGCGTCTGCAATAACAAGATACGGATATAGTTTTTTTTATTAATTCTTGAAATTGAGCATTATAAAACTCTGACCGCAGTCTTTGATAATAATGTCATATGTCATATAGACGTTTCGTCGAAGCTGATATTATATAATGTGTATTATATATATTATTATAAAAACTAATAACCATTAACCTTACATTGATAATATAATTTTTTAGGAATTAATAATAATTTAAATTGCTGTTACGTTAATGAACAGAGCTGCCGCAGTCTTTAATGTTTAATAAAAAAAAAACAAAAAAACATTGATAACACTGCAATATAGACGTTTAGTCGAAGCGAATATTATATAAATTATTATAAAAAACTAATAACCACTTCAACGAAACGTGTATATAACAGTACTCATATTATCAGGGAGTTAACATTTTCATCTTAAACATTGTATTGACAGTCTCACAAACTTATAATATATCATATTGTCTCACAACGCTCAACACAAACATACACGGAAAAAGTTCAATTTTTTTCAAATATTTCAACTTCTCAAATTAACAATGTAAGTACCTATATATCATTAGTATAGATATTATTTTTATAAAAAAAAAATATTATAGGTAGGTAGGCGTACGTTACATATGGAACGAATCAAACGAATACGTGCACAATATTCAATTAAAATAGAAATTTTATTGTTGAACATTAGTTATGCTATCATAAACTAGTTATAAATCTAATTTAATGTTGTTTTATTTTTTACAATTACTTTTTTATTAAACTAAATTATTTATCCTAATTTTTAGAGCATGGATTTATTTTTTTTTTTTTTTACGGGTTGAATTTTTTTATAAATTACAATATGTCTTCAATCGATTCAAACAATATACGAAATAGAACAATCAACAATGTTCTAGAATCTTTAGAATATTATCGTTTTAACCCTGAAATCACCTTTATGTTAGTAGGAGATTATTATCCATTTATGGTAAAGGACCATGTATTAAATATTTTAACCGATCCACTTAGAAATTATACATTAGTTGAACTGTGTATACAAAATGTTAGGGACCAAAAGTATTGTAGCAGTGCATGTTATCATCATGAAAGATCTAGTGGTTATACTTTTCAAACTTACAATCCTTTATACCAGTTTGTTCGATTTAAAGACATACAAGCGTTTAAAGATTATTGTTATTAATTATTATACACGATCTATATTATGTGGACGGTTCTTAACTAAAGGTGTTGATTTACAAACTAATCCGTTCCCTACTGGTATTGACTCCGTACCTGTACCCGTAACATATTCAGAATTTTTGTTTTAGATAGAATGAGAAATATATCTCATAAATAAAAAACTAACAATAAAACAATTATCTAAGATGTTTGAGAGATAATTTCTCATTTTATATTTATATACTATAAATGTATAACTATTAAAATTATTTTAAATGTGTACACTTTAAAACATTAATTATATTGTTATTTAATATATATTTTAAAAATGCTGTTGAAGGATAAAAGTAAATATTTAAATCGTAATGATTATTTTGATTAAGAAAAAAAAAAAAAAAATAATAAATGTTAAAGATCTTAAAAAAATTAGAAACCTCAAATTCACTATTTATTTAAGTAGAACAAATTCTAAACCAAATTTGTCTTATTTAAAAGAGTTAAATGTAAAATTAGTTTTATTAAGAGAAAAAAATGGATATATGTCGAAAATATAGTGATTTATAGGTTACAAATTTTCGCAATCGAGAACAATGTTTCGGTAAAAGGTTAGATTTTATTACGGTAGCAGAATCTAAACGTGAAAGGTTTAGATCAGGTTAAATTTTTTTTTTTTTTTAATTTATTATGAATAATTATTAAATATATTATTAGTTTATAATTATTATTATATTATATTTTTGTCATTATTTTATTACTAGTAGATAGTTTACAAATTCTATAACAATTTTCTAGAATTAAAAAAAAAAAAAAATGGAGTCACAAAAATCATTAATCTGGGAAGAAATTAATTCCATATTAAAACAACTGAAGGAAAATAACCGTGGAATGGATAAGGACGAAGCCACTTTCAAAAACAAAATGAGAGATATTAACGTCAAAATACAGAACGCGTCTTTGAAAGCTACCCGGAAAAAGTTAAAAGAAAAAAAACAGATATTAATCAACGATTATAAAAATTTATTATATACAACTTTCGTCTGTGAAAAAAATATACAGAAAGGATTGAATGTATTATATGATAAATTGAACGATATATAGTCGCTGATAATAAAATCGAAATAAATAAATTATTTTGTTATTATTTATTATTTTATCTTATAATTATATATCGAATGATATTGTAGTAAATTATAACCTATATCATTCTTGTGTATATAATATCTGTCGAAGGATAATAAATGTTTTTAATGCTCAATACTGTTCAAGTTTTATAATCGTTCAAATAAAACTAATTTAATAAAAATTTTACGAAAAGTGGTTTAGATTTTAAAAAAAAACGTATCAATTTTCTAACGTAATGAGCGTATAAACAATGTACCTATCAGTATTAATTAATTTAATCTAAAATATTTTTTTTTTAAACTAGAAGGATGACTATTCCAAATGATGTAGATCCGAATGTTCAGAAACCAATTATTTCATATGAAACGGTCCGATGTATGGCATCTTCATTTGCATATGATGAACAGGAAATATTAGATTTATTCAAGTTAAATAATTCTAATTTTATACTTAAAGAAATTTATTTAAGTATAAACCTGAAATCAGTACCGACCCACTATTGTTCCTTGTCTTGTTTGCGAATTGACAATGAAAACAATAATTGTCAAATCCATTTAAAGGGATTTCACAGTCAATTTCAGACTGTTAAAGGCCTGCAAACATATAGTCAATTTAGTCGGTGTGCGAAATGTCGTGCATATTTGACTATTATTAATTTTAATACATCATATCCTGTAATAAATGTACCATTTTACTCATACAAGATAAAACCGACAGAGATAGATATGATTCATATAATCCATTCCATTTATAATTCAGGTAAATATAATTACTATAAACATAGTTTGATTTTAGTAATAGTTTCTCAACCTTATGATTATACAAACATTTCAGATTTTGAAGATATTTATAAACATGTGTACGTTATAGAGTAAGCAAATTACTTTTTTTACACACACATTTGGATCACGGATGATGAAAGTATGATAGTAACATAGTGTTATTGCTGTTATTAACAATATCTGGTCGCATGAACATAATCACTGAGTGAGTTCACACACACACACACACACACACACACACACACACACACACACACACACGTACGCACACACAAATAAATATTATATTCAACCTTGTTTATCATCATTGAATTTGTTTTCATAATAGATTGTATATTCGTAAATTCATAGAAAATACCTTCCAAAGATAAAGATTTACTATGAAATACAATGGGTTTAGCGTACAAATGGCAAGGTTCCAGTGGTCTTTCCAAAGGCCCCATGTTACGATTGTTTACTCAATCGTTTCATGTGTCGCTAAAATAGCTCGTTAACATTCTTAGTAAATCTAAATTCGGTTATCCGAAAGCGTCAACGTGATGAATTAAATACAGTCTATTCAAAACATATCAGTTGAGCAAAATATTTGAGAAAAATAAAAAAACTATGAATTAAAAACAAAAAAGATTACATACTCTTTTACTTGAAAAATAATAAAATACCTTATTTATATTAATTATATTTTTCACACATTTCGCTAAACAAAAAAAAGTTAATTGAATAAAAAGTGAATTATATTATACAGAGTATTCAAAAATCAATCACTGATATTATCTCAGTTTTATTTATTTTTGAAAATATAAAAAAACAGTAACTATATCATAAAGTTAAAAATGAAATAGAAAATGAAAACATGCTAAAAGAACACAGTCTCTTTGACTGATTATTATTATCAATATTTTAAGTTTTAAAACTTAAGAAACTTTAATTAAATATTATGTTAATAACATATTTTATGACTGGTTAGCTAAACTATACAAAATAATAATAATAATAAAAACGTATAAAGATTACATTTAGCTAAAAACAGAATAAATATTATACTAACGGGTGTATAAGAAGTTGTCTATAGAGGCCCCTTAATAAAAAAAAAATATTAATTAATACTATATTATTACCACATACTATATTCAAGAAGAATATTATTAAATAAGAAAAAAAACTACATATTATATATAATATATAATTGAAATAGAGTTGTTCGATATGATATTATAATAATTTATAACATTACCGCTTATGTATTTTATGTTTTACAGTTGTATTACGGAAAGAATGAAGAAAATTATTTCAAACCGCCAACCATCAGAATCAATAGAATTAATTGAAATTGAAAGATTTAAAAAAAAATGATCTGAAACATTTTTGATTAAGAATATAGATTCCATACTTAACAAGTTGAATATAAACTTTTTTATTAAATAATTGTTAAAGATAAAATAAATACTATACTAAAATTATAGGATAAAAATACAGAAGTATTATTTATTTTCATTGATTAATTTTTCCGCTAGATGGTGCTTTTTATATCGATTGTGGATACATCATGTTTTTTTGAAACAGGCTATTGAGGATTAGGAGATCATGTGAAATAATTAATTTTGACTTCAATGAAAAAATATTTTATTATAAAAGTATTACATATTTTACATAAAAAACATTATTTTAAAATATCTGATGATGTTATCCATGAATTTTGACTTGAATCAAAACCTAACCATTTAACAAGCATTTTATTCCCAACTTTTTTTACAATACGTTCAATGAGAAA